ATATGCGGATGGTTTTTCGAGTATATTCTTGTAGAGGAAATCAACTAGATCATTTCTAGAAAAAACCCGAACTCGAAAGTCAAATTCTTTCAAGAGAAAAAGAGCCGCGAAAAAATCCGCAATAATTATGCATCAACCTAATATAACCTATTTCTACACATACCTACGGTTAAATATGTTGTAGCTTCATCCTACTTGGCGAATGAGGTACCAACTGGTTATTCCAGGTAGATTAAAGGCCCAAATAATTCGACTAGAATTCGATGAATGGTTTGGAGTTCTAGTCAGTCGTAGCACCGCCTTGTGCCGCTATCATTTCCGCCTTTTCTTGTACCTCCTACGTTTTGATATTCTATTCAGAAAACACGATGCTTCCCTCTTTGCCTGTTACTGATAAAATAAAATTTTTGAGGCGTAAACTGATGATCGTTCCCAACCAATCTGCTCGTAGTCTTCTTACCGCTTACCTCAAAACGTGTAAAGTTACTATATTTTGCGACTATGATACAACAACATCAATACATAATTCAAATCCGGATTTCAACAACCAATACTTCAGCTCCGCTACGTGATATCAATTGAAGTTAGTGAATAATTCATAAAAAAATTAGTGATGTAGGCTTCTAAAAGTGATTTCAACCACTCGATGAAAATGTCTGCCATTAGTTGCAATAATCAGACATTTGTTCCTCATCAGCGCAATGTGCAACACTATTCATCCACGCAGGACGATTCTTTAAACTTTTTATTGTCTAGATAATTTTATCAGAGTTGAATGATCATCACTAGAGGAACGGAAGAACAGTTCAGAGAATTGGCACCTTGAGTGTTCGATTCTATTATATAGATCTAATTGAAACTAATCGCGCCTACAGAGAAATTCAGTTAATCATGAACGAATGACATCCGCATACGGTAGCACCACCCTCTCGTAATGTCTCAGCAACTCCTCTAGACTTATTGTTCACTTTTTTTTTGTATTTTAGCTGCACCAAGAAATCTTCGTGTAACTCGCGGGTCCCGTTTTTCTCTTGTATTCAAAAGAATGTCGTCTGAGTATTGTGTTGACCTTTGCTACCGTATTTCTGTTTTGAAGCTTTTGTGTTTATGTATTTATGGATAAATGTGTGTGTGCATGTGTGTTCAGCGAACGCCATCGGAGCCGGTCAAGAAGAGCTTGCAGCTGTGAGCGCGGTGAGTCAGCCAGCTCCAGTCCCGCTCCTCAGTCTGTTCGTCGTCCGTTTCGTCTCACTGACCGACCGACCGGTTCCACACCGTAGCATCACCGCCCGGCTCAAGCGTATGTTCTCCAGTCGATTTGTAATCTGGCGCTCAGCTGCTCCAGTCATTTTCCATTCCTGAACTGTTCATGTTCCTACTGTCAGCCCTGCTGTTTTGTATCTCAAAAATCCAATGATCTGCGATGCTATGCCGTATGGTTTCAGGTGTATGTTCCGCCATATACTACTCCTCGTCCTCTTTCCGGCCACAACGGCTGTTGGCACTGTGCCAGTCCCGAATGAAAGTGCCAAGCTGGTGAAGGATCGATTCGACGGTATGCATGATCCTCCGTTCATCTGAGCTGCCTTGTCATTCGCAGATTACACTCAGGCTGGCCATTCTCTTGGGTCTCAAGCTGTGGACTTCGCTTTCTGAATTTCCTCGACACTTTCTAATCATAACTCGCAATCCTTTCGATGTGCCTTTGGCCGTTTTTAAAACTTCATTTAAATTTCTTACTTCCCTTCTTTGGGATCTATCAGATATGGGTGAACCCCTGGAAGGGATATTGCAGTTGACTGTGACTAATGACTTCGGCTTTTGAAATGGTTTTTTCAAAAGTTATGGTGATCAGAAAAAAACGAATCAGGTTTTCAGATCTATCGGAGAAGTTCCTATTACCTGAGGACTTCATTTACGCCGATGAAAAGCCAGGTTGGTTAGTTTTCACCTTAAAATTCGAAGGCTACATTTTTTTTTTGTTTTCGTTTGTTCGAAGACTTATCGAGGTAAACGTCCTTCTCGGTCTTCTTCCTTGAATGCTAATCCCTTGCTCTCTCTCTTCGATGTCGTCCTGCCCTTTTCCCAGGCCCATGGCAGTTCGGCAGCATAAGTGGGGAATTCCTGTTGCCATCGAGGCGCGATCTCCCTAACCACCTGTTGTTCTTCCTCTAGTGATATTTTCGAGTTTAGTTTGATTTCGTTGGATGACTGTTCATTACGGTCGAATTCGTTGTTTATTCACACTCTGGCATAAATAGGAACCCAAACTTCTCTTCTCAGTTCTGGATATATCATAAAAGTGATGGCAAGAAAAGATCCATGCTTTGAAAGTTTTCCATCAATCTATGTGACCTGAATTCCACCGCTAGTGAATTTATGTGCTGTTCATTTTCCTCTCCCTACCCCTTCTTGCACCCTCTTCCGTTCTACTTGATTTCCCCGATTCAAAAAAAGACCCTTACTCAACACTCAACGCCTAAGTACTTACTCAGCTCGCACTGCACTCTTTCTTGTACATATTTTCGCCTTCGTTCATTGAAGTTCTACCTTTTTATACTAATTACTGCCCTTTTAAGCTGTTCAGTTGTGTTCAATATTTTGTGTATTTATCTCTTCACCACATGCTTTTTGTTTGTTTTTTTCCCTCAGTACACATTGACTGAATGTTTTTATTTCAGTGGACATTCCAACGGATGCCATATTGGACGCAGTTCAAAATGCACAGCTGTTCGAAGGTGATATCATCGGAATGCCGAGCTCCGAAGTGCCAGCGCTTCGTCGTCTCCGTGACGATCCCTTCGATGACGATGAAGTCCGAATTTTCGGAACACCGGCAAGTTCTAATCTTCGCGAACTGGTCTTTTACAATTTTTATTCAACCGATATTTTCCAGTACCACAGCGCGCTCAATCTTGCCACCTATCCAGAAAAGCTTTGGACAGATGCACAAGTGCCGTATATGCTCGAAGAGGGTATGACAAACGAGTAAGTTTGTTCAGAGAATGATTGGTGATTCAGGATGAAGTGGTTCTTTTAATTATCGATTAGTTCTGCGCCGCGACCGCGCGCGTCACAGATCGCCGTACTTGTAATAACGACTTTGATCAAAATAGAGCATAAAATAGGTGCATCGAAGGGAACGTTTTCGGCTCGATTGATTCTTATCCAACGCTATTGATTCTTCTTCAGTCTTGTCAATGACACCCGACACCAAGCGCATCGGCCGTTCAGCTGTCCACCGCCACCTTGTCGTCGTTGTTTACTCTGAGTTTTTCAGTTCGCGCCGGCTACCTTCTATTTGCTTTCGGCCATTTAAAGAGCTCGAACTCGCAATAATACCATTGTCCGGCAAAGGTGCTATATGTGAACCATTGTTTTTTAATGGTCAGTCTCCAAAAGTCCTGCATTACGAACCTGCTTTTTGGCGGCGGTAAGAAGGTACTTCTGAAAAACTCGGCCCCAAAATATCGAGTGCGATGAATAGACTATTTTTGCTTTTCGTAGTATTTCGAGTGAAACCAATATCGTCGCTTCTCAAGGAGCTGTCCATATAAAACTTTTCAAGAAAAAGGTGTAGTCTGCACGAAATTGGGCGATGCCATTTTGGGATCCGCCGTGCAACCGTCTTCCAATCACAAATGAAGGTTTTGAATGAATCTCTTGCCTATGCAGCTGACTTTTAGAAGTTAGATTGTGTAGGTCGACTGTTTTCTAAACTGTTTGGATTTTTAAGATACGGACTAGGCTATTTTAGAGGGTGGGGTGTTCATACAGTCTGCATGACATGCTGTATTTGGTCCTGAGACGAAACATGTGGCTTAAGGATATATCCCGCTGGTCTACTAACCTATGCAGTAGGTTCTGCATAGAAATCGAATGTGTGGCGCAATTCTACCAAGTACTTCAGGTCCTTTGCGTTCCCTAGACCTTTTAAGGGGAATCGATTTCAATCTATAACCTCTGAGGTAACATGACTATCCATATCAGTATAATATGAAAGTATGGTGAAGATGTCAGGCTCATTTTATTATTATTGATTTATCTGATTATTTGTTTATTTGTGTATTATCCATCAGTTGTTTGTTGTAGTCAGAGAGCTGCCATTGCTCAAGCGTTTGACGAGTACAAAAAGAAGACATGCGTTCGATTCGTACCACGTAATGATGATGACTTCGATTACATCTACATTAAAAGGAATACGGCGTTTGGGTACGATTTTTCCCTAACTCATGTTGCATTAAACAGTATTCGATCAGTAGAGCTTACGTAGTGAGCTCTCTTTCTGCCTTATCTTCATGGAGATAGATTATCACTGTGTTTCTCGTATGCGCCATGTACTTGTATTCCTTATTGTATCACAATGGTTGTGGGGACTTTTGCAGCTTGTCCTTTAGTGATTCTAAAAATCTGAGGGTTTAACTTTGAGAGATAGCAAAGGCTTGAATAAAGCTTTGTATAGTTACCTGTGATTGGTAAGCAAGTTCATTCATCGTTGCTGAATAAGAGGCTCATGAGTGCGTGGCGTATCCTTGAGGGTGATTATGAATTGAAATCGAAGAGTTGCTTTTCTTTGAATGTTCTGTGTGCATATAGGTGTTCATCATATGTCGGACGAGCTGGAGGTAATCAGACTGTCTCCCTGGAGGTCGATAAGTGCTTTTCCAAGGTTTGTTCCCCGTGTTTATCAATTCAAGTACCTTTTATTCTTGAAATTATGAATGTTAAGACTTGCTAGACATTACCTCTTGGTTTCTTTAGCCTTGAAATCAAATTCTATTCGTGTTTCCGTGCATTGCCTCTATTTCTTTACTGTTCCTTGAGTGTTCATTCCCTTGATTCTCCTAGAAGGGTACATGCTTTTTGATAACTCTCGTCAGTCGTCGGCCGTAAGAATGAATTTTGTGAAGGCTTATACTCCAATTCAAGGTCAAAAAGCCCGAATCTCGAACTGAAGATTAAATTTTTTGCTTTATATTTTGTATTTGTCAGAAATTTCTTCCATGCCATAGTCAGAACTGAAACCTTTCGTAGTGTCAGTGCGATATTTTTATTTGAATTTTTTGAATCGATACTATCATTATATCGATTTTTAGGGAATTATTGCTCATGAGCTTATGCATGCGCTGGGATTCTTTCACGAACACTCCCGAACGGATCGCGATCTATATGTTGACATACAAGAGGACAACATCAGACCAGGTATCGATTGATTTATGATGTTTATCCAATACGAACATCTGGTTTGCATCGAAGTGTAGTAAATAAAAACAACCATACACCCGTGGTAGTCTTCTGGGGGTTGACTTTCTGAGTTTGGCCATGCTTGAGAACACCTATGCTTACACAAAGTATGCCTATTGATCGGATTACGTATACAGGTCATACTTTCAAACTAAATTATAGTTGGAGCTACCAAGAACCTAAAGGATCGTAATCATAATTGGACCGCGGTTTTTAAATAACCTATGGAATCTCAACTGGGAGTCGTACCTGTCAACAAATTACTGTTGCGCCTCTTGGCACTGCGCTATATACGTTCCTGTTTCAGGAATGTTGAGAAATTTCGAGAAGTATCCTCGAAAAATTATTGATCCTCTGGGAATGCCATATGACTACGACTCAGTCATGCACTACCATAAACTGGCTTTTTCTCGCAATGGAAAGGCAACGATTGTACCCAAAAAACGTTCAGTTGAAGTCGGTCAACGTTATAAGCTTAGCGAAATTGACGCAAAGAAGGTTGGTGTCCTGAACTCCCAAAAGCCGCAGACTGATAGATAATTATTGATGGCATTAAGGTGAATAAACTATACGAATGTGGTGAATATTCGGCCACCAGCACGACGACGACAACAGCAGCAACTACTACAACGAGAACGACCACTACTCGTCGTCCTACTACATCGACAAGGTCTAGGACAAGGCCCGGACGTACAAGAGTAGGCTTGTTCAGCGATAAATCAAAAAAAAAACAAAAGGTCTTTCAAAACAAAAATTCGACTGAGGTTGATAATTTTGAAAGAGTTACGAATTCTGGCGAAATTACGACGGAAGGCTACCCCTGCGCTGCTTATTGACGATTATAATTATGGCCTACAAAATAGTTCATTTACAATAGTCAGAAGGAATTAAGCTCCGCCTACTGGGGACGGGTTTTGCAGTATCAAGTTGTGATACAGTGAAACCCGTCCTCAGTAGGTGGAGCTTGAGCTTGGGGACTGTGCGATGTTGTTCTGAGGTCGTAATGGGGAAACTACTAAATAAATAAGAGTATAATCCCTTGCGGTATCAACTCATCCAGTGTTTTCATCGGCTTTTATACACTCTTAAAACAAAAAGCTTATTTTGAAAATTCCATTTTTAAAGTTACTTCAGGATGCTCACCGGAGTTTTCGATCGAGTTCATTGAAACGATGTTCGGCCTGGTTTTGAGGAAATGCCAAAATGTAGCGATGTATCTAATGTGTTTTGGGTATAGGCACCAACCCAGGCAGTGCAGTATTTACAACATCGGCTCCGATTGTGCAAAGATCAGCTTTTTTGTTTGGCATGAAGCTTGGTGCCCTTGATCAAGCAATACACAATAGTAGAACTGATTTGTGATCAGCAGATGGTTTATGATGGATTTATCCAATGCAAACTTTCGGTTGACTCCGATTCAGTAGCAGTGTTGCATTCGCTCTACGAAGCATTGCCATTTGATGGCACTGCCATATGTTTAGTTCAGGGATCGACTGGAGAAAGTCAATGTTATGAAAACAAAAACTCAGTAATTGTGGAGTACTGTTGATGTCGTTGCAGAGTACTTCTCGTCGAACTACTGCCACTACCACAAGGAGAACAAGAACCACTACCACTACCGCAGCTCCTACAACAGTGTCCAGAAGGATACATAGAAGTAAGTTCTCGTTGGAAACGCGAAAATGAAACGTTGGAAGTAGACAGGTTCATTTGGGATGAGTGATGTAGTCAGCTCACCATCTATATGAGCTACACCGGCTTTCCGTAATCTGAGTAGCTTTGCTGAAGAGATAGTGCTGTAAGTAAGTTAAGTAAGTTGATGGGAACCTCGGAAAGCTCTAGAACTCTCCAAACTGCTTCATTAGTTGCGTACCCAGTCACAGTTTTTCGATCCATTGATTGAACTCGTTTTGAGAGTTGTCGATAAAACTATTCATCATTTGGAATGTTCCTAGCATACGCCACTTTTTCTTTAGTACTACTAATTGACAACGTTCCCATTTGTTGATCCCATGTAATGGAAAGCCTGATTGGTTCAACTAAATCTGATTTATGAAATTGTAGCTCAAAAATCGCATCACTTTACAACCTGTTTTCTAGGACACCAATCTCAGGTACATTTTCAGAGTGCGAAGACTTGAATGCCCATTGTTCGATGTGGGAACAGCTTGGGCATTGCCAACATTCAACTAAATACATGGCGCATTATTGTAGAAAAGCGTGCAGGATGTGCGAAGACGACTTCACGAGTGAGTGTTTTTTTTTATTTCTAATGAGAAGCCGGCTGAAACTCATAAAATACCCTTTTTCCTACAAAACGTGAGTTTTCAGCAACAACGGAGAAGCCTCGAGGCACCAACAAAGAACGAGGAAGAGGTGGCATAGGAGAACGAGGAGGAAAGATAGAGAAAGAGAGGGAAAAGGAAAAACCGTCTGAGGAGAAAGAAAAGTGTGTGGACAAGAATCTGTTCTGCGGTTACTGGGCGAAAATCGGAGAATGCAAGAGCGAAAGCAAATTTATGAAAATCTTCTGCAAAGCTTCATGTGGGCGGTGCTGAGGAGTCACAGAACTGTCTTTCACTTACCAATTATGAATGTTTCTGGTGCTTTTATGGAATCCTAACCGATTTTTGCTTAGTTTTCTGATACATTAATTATGTACAGTGATGCTGCTTGATTGTTGTCTTTCATCCTGTAATCTCGGTCCTTTGATTTTGCTTCCTCACTTCATTCCTGCTTCCCTTTTAAAAAATTCCATTAGAAATCTATCTTTACATTTTGCTTAAATATTTCCCATATAGCGGCTGTACCTCTGGATTATTCTGCTAACATCCTGTAGAATCTGTCTGATTTGGTGAGACATGTGCGACGCGGTAGGCGACGCGTTGCTGTGCAACATAGCAAGCAATCGATATCGGTATTTTTCGCTACCATTGTCGTAGTGATTCGCCGAATTGAATGAGACACCTTCGGTGAAGCACTTTGTGCCGGGTTCGTCACGTTTATGGTAGCGACTATGTCGCCGGTGCCTTCTAATCAATACGTATATTATACATATATCTGTGCATGTGAACAAAATTGTAATTGTTGCCTTTGCCTAAATGTGTGATTATTTATTTTAATAAATCTTCAAGTTTTTTGTAAGTCAGAGAAAATGATCATATGATTAGATGGGGTCATGTTCCCTACCGATTTGTCTACTCTGAAAAACTTCTATTTTTTTAAATTTTTTTCATATTTTTATCAACAGTTTTAGAGTCAAGAACAATTAATTTTTATTACCGAATCAAAGCAGATCATTAATTGTACTTGACTTAGTCCATTAGAATTCTTTCTTATTTTCGTATAAGAAATTAATGAGCTTCATTATTCTCACAGCTTACTATGTGGTGATCCAATAATATCAATAAGATTTGCGTTGGCGAAGATGTTGGCAGGGTCGAGTTCAGCCTAAACAAGCAACCATTCCGATCTGTCGGTATGTACTCTTCAAATAACTTTGTAACTTTGGGAGTTGCTATTTCATTCGGTTATGGGAGCTACTAACCGCATGATTGGTAATTTCGAAGGTTTTTGAGCAACTATGAAAATAACGGCGAAGCCTTTCTACCTTACTGGGAATCATTATGTGAGGGGAAGCGACAACAAGCGATAATAGGTGGTATTGAGTGGTAATGTGTGATACGAGGTGGTGGTCTGAACCACGCGACATTGAACGTGACTAAGCGACATGATGAGGCATTAGGTTACTGTGAAGATAGAAATCAGTACCGTACCGCAGTGAGCTGCAGTGAGCGATAGTGGGTTCAGCTACGTGTCAAGCGGTTATAGATGACCTTAAGTGAGAGGGAAGTTAGCCTGCGAATAGGCGACAGTAAGCGAGAATGAGCGAGGTTGTGCGACAGCAAGCGACACTGTAGAATACTGAAAATCGGAAGTGCTATGTTTACTGTGAGTACTAGCAACTGGAATGGTCTTAGGGAGAGGTGGGGGATCATTGAGTCTTATGAGGGGTATGCGATTAGTGATGAGAAGATGTGGCTAGAGCCTTTGGGAGCGAGCTACAATGAGCGATAATGAGCGACGGGGAGCGATAACAATGGGCAAAGAAGTTCCGTTATTTTCAACTGCTAGGTATTACCGAGCATTTTTGACCATTTGGGAAGTAAACTTTGTTTTTTGAATGTTTGTATGTTGAAAATATTTTCGAATGTATTTGACGAACCTTAATTGCTTTCAATAACGAAATCCCCACGGCACCTTGCGATGTAAGCATCCACTGTTTCCTTAATTTTCCCACTCCATGATGATGTGATATACTACCGCCACAAGCGATTATTTCATCTCGAGCGGCTATCTGAAACAACTGACATCGGGTAATAATATTGGAAGGAAAGCCTCTAAGCCTACTCATCATAGGCCCCCTTAAAAAAGCCATTTTCAAAAGAAGTAGGTAAAAGTTCTGGAAAAATATGTGTTCAAGGGGTGCCAAGTGTATAAGCTTCACTCATTTGGGCAAGTTTCTGTTATCAACCAACCTCGATCCTATCGTAGACTTCCAGAGGGTCGTCTAGGCCGCGGGAGTTGAACCCGAAGTAGAAGTATACACACACTCCAGCGTCGTATATTTGAGTCACTCTGCAAAGGGTAGTGTGGTCTTGGAAGAAAGTTGAGGGACGAAACAAGGCCAAACTAAAAGTTGGGCTGAAATCCTTGCTCCTTGCGGTTCACAGAACATTCTGACGAAAAAGTCTTGCTAGATGTTTGCATCAAAAAGTTGGGCTGAGCCGGGGATCGATCCCGGGACCTCTCGCACCCTAAGCGAGAATCATACCACTAGACCACTCAGCCGTGACGAAATTGTGAAAGTGTTGCATGAAAGTCGTTATTCATCGTATCCGTTCCACTTTCCTGGCGTGATGCGATTGCTGTCCAGTTCACCCGATCCACCTGCGCACGCAGCAAAGCAATGTTTCTTGGCGACTTCTCCGTGGCTGAGTGGTCTAGTGGTATGATTCTCGCTTAGGGTGCGAGAGGTCCCGGGATCGATCCCCGGCTCAGCCCGACTTTTATACCTTTGTCTGGCGTTTATTAACACACCAGTTGGGCTATGCACACTAACGCGTGTACTATGCCATGCCCACTACCGCTTACCTACGACTTGTTAGAGGACCAATATAAAGTTTCGCCTTCCTTTTTCATAACCATTTCCCCATTAGGTGATATTCCCCAATTTGAACGATCTGATGCCGCTTTGTGTCTATTTATCTCTTGACACTAATCGGTGATCGGGGGATTGTTTCCATTCTAACCTCCTCTAGTTCCTAGGGGTTTGATTGTCCTGCGGCGTGGGGTCGAGTTGTGACTTTTTGTCTGTGACGTCATAAATAGTCTGGATATTAATTAACTGACCAATATAAGATATATATATATAGAGGGTTATATTATGTGAGTGTACTTAATGAAAAAAACAAGCTTCCGAGAAAATTTAGCTGATTCGATCACGACTGGACACGACCCAACTTTAGTTTTTGTGGATGCACTTTAGAAAATATTTCTCGCTCTATAAAGTTCCGATCAATTTACCCTTTATCCACCCTAAAATTGAAATTGGAATCTTCTTCTAAAAGTCTCTGTATGAAAAAAAGATGAGAACTGCTATTTCTGGATTGACTAATCTCGTTGTGGAGTGCGCCCATGCATTTGACTTTACTTTCGTATCCTTGTGTTGTTGAATGCTTTTTTGTCTCATACAATGAGCTAAGGTGACAGCCCATGTGAGGAAAAAACTCCCTTAAATCTCCCAGACAAGTCAGCGGTTGGTCAACCTCACTGGTTTCGAGCCGGGACTCGATCTCAGGACCGTGCGTGTGCTGATGCGCCTTTTGGCAGTGACTCGGTATCACCCGCAATCAATTGAATAAATATAAATACCATGGTCAACCATAAATTCACCTGCAGCTTGATATTGTTGGATATTGGACTCCTAATGCTTTCGCTTGCCGTTTTATGAGTTCCTTGACATTTCGACACAAATTTAAGACCTAAATTTTATTCATCAATTAATCAATAATCAATAGAGGGCAATATCGAATGGTTAGCTCCTAACTTTATCCCATGGTACGGACGTTTCGAATGATTCACCCAGTACGCCAAATTCCATACCTAGGTCCTGAAATCATCTATGAAATCGATTTATTGATTCACTGGGGTGCTATTGGGATAACCCACTCTCAAATAGGCAATTGCAAAAGTTAATCGATATCCATATTTGCCATTCTCCTCGCCTCCTACCTGAATGAGATTTGGAATTATTGATTTATTGATTGTTTTGTGATTTTTGGGATTATTGACTGATAATTACCTTCCACGAACAGTATGGCAAACGAACTCTCTAGGCATGTTCTGTTGTGCATCATCCTCTAGATGTGCTATTTACTTGGGCTTTTTTATCCATCTGTTTTTATTTACTTATTTATTGAAATGTGTCATTCGTGATGACTTACCACACCCTTGTATTTATCTGCAAGAGCGTACAATTTTCTTTCCTCGTTGTTGACTTCATCGGCTGTACCTTCAAAAACGCAAGTGGCAGCACACATCTCATCAGCCTAAAGTGACTTATCTCTTGGAATTTTCTTATTTCCCCAGTAAACGTTTGAAATAAGTAAGTTCTGTGGTCCAGGTGCTTAATGTGGGGTTTCTGCAGGGGTTTGCAAAATTACTTGTTCTCACCGATTCAAAATATCCTGATCACAGACTGCAAGTGGCCTACACTTTCTTTGCGCCTTTATGTTCCCACAAATTCGACTTTTCAGGCTTCTTTGCTTTCTTCTCACCGAATTCTTTTGGTGAACTGGTATGCCGCTTGCAGTATACGTAGGAAGGCATAAAAGGGGAGATTAAAGTGGGAGACGTCAAATTTAACTGCTACTCCATTGTCGGGGGACGAACGTTGGTCAAAAAGTGCAAGCTGTCCGCAGATGTTTGAGGCCAAATATGGTAACGAGTAGGAGAATAAAAACCGATTTGTACGCAACTTCGTAACTTCCTTTTATGAATTGAAGTCAGAATGACACAGAAAGAGCTCAAAGACTTTTTTTCCCTCTGTATAGGTCTGCAGCAATAAGGTGAAGCAATGAAGACGAAAAAGTTCTCACATGGAAACCTTTCCATTTGGTGAGGTACGCCCGGCCAATAGAGTGTTTCATTGAATCCCAATACGATTTTGGGGCTAGTCGCAAGGCTTGTCCCATGATAAATTGCTCGTTGTCCATCAGTCGTAGAGAAGCCGGTTGCAGTCTCTGAAAAAGTTTATTGACTGTTAACTTTAACTTTCCAGTATCATCGTAATTTCTGCTATTCCGCCTAAGAGCTCCATCGATTTTGATTGTGTGTATCAAAAAGTTCTGGCAGCATTCAGAGGTATTCAGTTGTGATCCTTGTGCAATGAACTATTCAAAATGTTGGGCTGAGCCGGGGATCGATCCCGGGACCTCTCGCACCCTAAGCGAGAATCATACCACTAGACCACTCAGCCNGGCTGAGTGGTCTAGTGGTATGATTCTCGCTTAGGGTGCGAGAGGTCCCGGGATCGATCCCCGGCTCAGCCCGACCTTTTGATGCGAACTTTGAGCGAGACTTTTCCACCAGAACGTTCTATAAATCGCAGGAAGCAAGAATTTCTACTAACAGCAATCTAGGAAGTCGTGGGAACCTTATCACCCTCCAAATACTTCCTGGGAACAATCACAGAAGTAGCCATAGCAACAAAACTTGCTTATTCGCCATTGCTCCATAGAGTTGACCTCTTTGTCTATTTGTTCTGATGCTAATTTTCAATCGTATGCAAAGTGAAAAGATCGTCTGTTGGGGAAGGGCTATCCAAAGTTTGGAGCTGTTTTTGGGCAAATGAGATAACAATGATTTTGAAGAATGGACCATGCAGACCTACTTGAGCACTTGCTACTTACCAATTCCCGGCTTAAAGCATATTGAACTTGGTCTGGATTGGGAACGAGCCCAAGGTCTCCCACACCTTGGGCCAGAATCACATGTAGAACACTTAGCCGCGGATAAACAGTGTGAAAAGTATCCGATCCGTGCAGGTGACGCAAACGATCTTACACCATGTCGGCAGAGTGGAGCAGATACGATCAGTCGCGACATCTATGCTACATCAGTGATACACCGTCAGGCTGAGTGGTCTAGTGGTATGATTCTCGCTTAGGGTGCGAGAGGTCCCGGGATCGATCCCCGGCTCAGCCCAATCTTTTGATCAGTGTTAATAAAATCTGCCAAATTTTCAGGAAGTCCATTGGGAAAAATGTTTTGACACCAGATTTGTAAGACCAGTTACCTGGCAGGTTTGGATTTTGCTGGTGGTAGACTAGGATCGAACTAACCACTTGAAAATCACTCAATATCTTGATTTGGAGCTGGTCCTCATGAGACTTGGGTAGACCCTTGACCTGGATTTATATGGGAGTAAGTACAAGTAAATGAGATCAAATCGCGACTTGAATGAGGTGATCGGGGCAGGTCATAGATGTGAGGGTCCTCAGATGACCCGACAGCAACACCATAATAAGTCCATTGATTGGCCTAGAGTTATGTCTTCTTCATTGTTATTGATTTTAGTTTCTATGGGTGAATTTTCTTCATTTTGTTTTTCAGCTTCTTTCCTTACTTTTCCTTCATTCCTGCGATAGTAACAACCTCATTCAACTAGTTCATGACTAATCTTACATACTTGTTTACTATTTATTTTATTCTACCCTTACCTAGAATTTACTCTGATTTTTTAAATTTCCTTAGTGCTGCACACAGTATTATGCTCTTCCACTACTCCCATTTTTTCTTCACAAAACGGACCTTTTTTGCTGTATCGTTTCAAACCTATGGACAAAATTTTGGAAAGAAAAATTTAAAAAATCAGAGCAAGAATTCATCTATGGCTGCGCCCCGCTACCGATTTCCCTGATCCTTTGAATTTTTAATGCCTTCTTTCCTAAATTCTGCTTGGATTAAGAAGAAAAAGGGCACTGTGTACTGAAATTTTGTCGGATTTGTGTTGATGTTGATCAAGTGAAATTGCTTGTTTCACAGATTGCCACCCCACTTCAGCAGAACTCCCGTTGGTCCAAAATTATTTGGTTTTTTTTTCTGACTTGCAATGAGCAGGAGAAGTAGCAATAGTGCCGTGATTAAAGGGTACGTAGCTCACTCTGAAAACTGCCCTACTGGTACTGAACACATTGGACTATCTCTTTGTGTAGAAATCCTTTAAAATTCAGCATATAATTCGAATGAATAAACTAAGGCCAGCTACAGTATAGACCAAAGGGGATGGTCCGCATACCTGACGTGCAACTTCTCGGAAAAATTCGACACCGTGCTGGAAATCTGGAAACACCAGGCTACCATAACGTTTCACCTCGGGTGATGGGAATATCTTGATGGTTGCCTGAACACTGAGATTTTCCTTACTTTGTTGAGAAAAATTGAAAGTTAATCAACCATTACCGCCGACCCATCTTCAAAAGAAGTTACTAAAATTTGCAAATTGGAGTCTGCTGAGGAGAGAAATAGAGAGCTGTAGGGAGAAGGGGACTAATTGTTCTTTCTCAGTATTTTTATGTAAAGTCCATAAGTATTATAGCCGCGTTTCTTTCTGAGCCACGCCTACGAGACATCAACCCAAACCAGTTTTGTTCCAGCTAATGAATCGAAAATGTAAAACCATAAATAAAATGTTTAAATCGGTCGCACCTCGGTCACAACACCCAATGTTCCTTCTGATCCCATAATAATATGGTGAAGATCAGGGCCACCGGACATTCGCGGAACCTGAATAGAATAGATTTTTCTGAGAAACAAAAATAGCCTTCACTGGAAGAGTTCTCTTTCGAGCTTTTTTTGATCCGGAAAGTTCAATTGAAAGCGCCCAGAGCTTTTATGGAGATTCATCAAATGGTACCGAATGTATTTTATGGGTATCGATTGTTTACGAACATACCTGGCATTGCTTATGAATCATTCCTTTTGCTGTGGCAAAGTTTACGTGAACAACGAGATCTTCTATGTTACCGTACCTTAACAAACATCAATTTTTTTTTACACGTTCATTAGTTCGTCGAATATGCTTGAGATGAATTTTCTATTGAGAAATGGGCTTCTCGTCCACCTCACCGTATGAACCCTCGAACAGTGAAAAACAATAGCTACTGTAGCCTTAGCTGAGGTCTAGCTCAAGAGACGCGCCGTCGCGGTGCCTCGCCAATAAGTTTCGCTAATAAGTGTCCTCAAAATCCTCGTCCGTTTATATTAGGTTGAGTCATAAGTCCTCGGACAAAATGATAGTGATGAATTCTAGATCATTCCTCGGGAAAGAGGTAACGGAAGTGGAGGCGCTAGGAATCGTTAGATAGAGTATAAAAAGCTCTTCTAAATACATATTAACGAGTACACCTGACCATCTCCTGCGCTCGAGCGTGAGGAGAGAAAGTGCCATGTCGACGCGAATATCCATGTCATACTGCTTCAAAGCATGGGGCACCCATCGACCGAGCTTTCGCACCTTGCCGATTGACTTCAATCCACGAATAATTGTGGACAGACACCCCAAGGGTGACTGCCAGTTCACGAGTAGTTTGATAGGGATCGGCTTCCACCTGGCTCCGCACCCCTCCAAATCCAACTCCATTGAGCGTCCCGGACGGTCTTCACTTTCGATGAAATGGTCGTCCGACGTGAACTTCGAGCGCCACTTGTAAACTGTGCGTCTAGCAGGAGCACCCTTCTTGTAACTTCCTCAATACGTCTATCGATCTTCGCGGGTTCTTGTCCAGATAAAAAAGAAGTAGGATGGGGTTGCGAAGGTGAAGTTGCGACGGCTTGACATGGTTGTAGGGAAGGAAGCAGTTAGGTGTGTTTTTTGAAAAATGTTTGGAAGAGCTTTCTATTCTCCATCTAACAATGCCACGCGCGTCCATTTTCGTCTCCTATTTCCCGAGTTATAATCTCTAGAAGTCATCACTATCATTTTGTCCGAGGTCTTATGACTCAACCTAATACTTTTCCTGGTTTTTAGACTACTTTAAAAGCTCTTTTTGGGAGTTGCAGAACTGAGAGGTAGGCTTTTTCGTTCACCACGTATCTGCCCCTGATGTTTGTAAATTGCCTTCAAAAGCTTCTGAGTGTACGAATTCATAGGCTCACTTATTCTTTTTCATGCCACTAGCTCTTGTTGATACCCAACCGCCGAGAGTGGAGAATTCGATCGAGTCCGGTTCATGACCGCACGTGAACCCTTTGTTGTTCAGTTGACGTTCAAGCGACTGCCCAATGATACCGGCCTGAATGAAGTAACGCTGAAGAACGAAGCATATAAAAAAATTTGAGATTCCTTCGAGCGGTCGATAATCGACAGCTCATTGAACGGGTCATTCCAAAAGCTTGATCATGACCCGAAAAACTGCATTTTTCTGACCACGTTAAATTTTCAGTAGCTGGGGAAGCACGGCACGGTACTTATTTATTTATTGGATGCCGGTTATCGGAAAATTTTCCTAAGCTCTCCGAGGAACCCTAGGACCCATCTGAATCATACTTGGACTAGTCGTGCTCTGGAGAAAGTAACCACTGCAGAAAAAAAAATCAGTGTCTCGAAAGAATGTCTTCAAAAATGTGTTTTATGACGGAGGGGCGTGGTCAAAAACCGGTTCAGGGACGGTTTTTGACAACGCCCCTCCGTACTCGTAATTAGGAAGCAGATTGTGGTAGCCAGTTACAAGTATATATGAGAGTATGTCTCCGTCCAAGAGTAATTCTACCTAACCAAGAGACATTGATAAAAATTCTTCAAGCCCTACCTGTGCTCTGCATGTCAGGTTCTCCTTATCTATCCAAATAATTTTATCCATTAAAGCCATATCCAATGAAATTACAGCTCGTTGTTCTGTGACAGGACATCCAAGAGCGTTCGATACAGAAGTGCCGCCTCCGATCGGAATTATGGCACAATTGGTACTCATCGCCAAATCAATAATCTAGACAGATCGATAATTGATTTGGTTTTACTGATGTCTTTGGACGGATACCGGAAACTGGAATACTTCTGGAAAGAACTTTGCGAAGCNGAAGGCATCAGTGCAAATTGGAAGCCAGCAAGGAGCAAACTACTGGCTCTTTCTGGGTGATGACCTACGAACTGTGAGGACCTTCACTTTATGCTCAAAAGATCTGGGTAAATCGAAAATCGTCCCAGAACCCGGCTCCCAGCACTGATGTGGTTTCATGAGACAGTCGTCGATAGGTTCAAGACAATACCCTTACCTTCAGCACATCCTGTTCGCTTCGTGGCCATACGACAATATCTGGCAATCGAGGGATTTTACCATGACGCAGATTAATGATATCGTGTACCTGTAGAGCGTTTATTGATTTATTGATCGGTTTGGAATGTTGTTTACTAACAGATAATTTTTTTAAAAAAATGAAAAGCGGGTTGTTTGCTAATGAATCAACCGTTTCACTCTACAAGAGAAGTGAGATGATGCAGTTCCCGGGGTTGACCAGAAATGGCTATATGACTGTCATGAGGATAAACACCTGAACGGTGCTCCAGAAATTCGCTCACCGTATGTCCATGACCACGCATCAACCTCATTCGGGGTGCGTTTGAGAAGGAAATATTAGCACGGACGAGTTCATCGAGGATTTCGTCGTTTTCGACGGGTGGTGGGATTTCCATGTCGCCAATACGTTGACTTGGTTTACAATAATCCAAACCGACGCCAAGATTTTCCTCGAACCACGGACGAAAGAACGGCATCTTCTGACCGCACGTCTCATACCTGCAAAGAAGCAAAGAATGTCCCTAAGCCAATCGATAATGGTGTACGTTAGGTACAACAGGATGACTACTATGACAAAAGGCTTGTAGTAATCTCAAGAAACTTTTGACAAACACTATGGGCGACACTATGGGACCTTTATATCGCGCCGTGATTTCGGAGTTACGGAGAAGTACCAACGTTAAAGTTAGGGTTCACCTATCCAAGCCATCTGGTATTGGGCGAAGTTTTGCAAAAAAGGAAAAGTCAATCGGGCTGGGCTGGACTCGATCTGATCGTGAGATGTGACCTAGGACTACAGGGCTTCTAGATGCGCTTCTTTTAGAATATTTTGTAGAATGATCGCTGCGAGTATGTGTCAAATCGCTTACTTGTCACCCATCATAACAACGTCGCCATCTTGATCCAGTTTGAAAAATGAATCAGCGTAGCCCCAACCATTCCATTTCAAGTCTTTGTCACTAAAATAAATGCATGATTATAAGTAAAAATCCAATCAATGTCTATGAAATGATTTATTATGATTTTTTCATAGATTTATGGTTTTAATAAAAAGGAAAATTTGACAAAAGCAAGGAAGTGGAGTACAGATGATATATTCTAGTCCAACTCGGTAGTTGATCAGTAATTGATTGATATCGATCGTTGTCACCATGATAAGTTCCTACCATCCCCTTCTCTCAATCAGAGAATTATTTTTACATTTGAATCGCTTATATTGTGTAGCTGGCTATATAAACGCTCTCATATAATTCTAATTAGTAGGACTTTATGGGTCCTGAGAGAGCCGCATTGGACCCTGTTGAGTGAGAAGGGAGCGAAAGGACGTTTCAGCAGCTTTGTAGGGACGGACATCTTTCAAAAATGGGGCGCATTTGTTGCAAAGGTACCCAGTTGGTGCAACTTGATAGCTAACCCACGCAACTTGGCAGCGATGAGATTTCGTCCAAATAACCCTATCGTCGGTAATACCTTGTCTAGCTTTACGGATGATGAATTCGAGGAAACTCTTTTATGTTGAGACTTTTGCTGATTTTCTTGTTTCCTTCGTTGATGATGGTTTCATACATTTTTGTGGTTTCATACTGTCCCCAAAAAATGATCATAGGATCATCGCGAAGTGGGATGCCTTTGAGTTTTCATTTGGTTTTTAAGCCGTTTTCTCGAATTCAATCACCTATCAATGAATGAAAATGGAGCTGTCATTGAAAAAAACGGAGTGAAATGGAAGCTTTCACAACCCAAATCCCTTACCATTGGAATAAAATGATTAGAACTTCTTCTTCACAAAGTCACTACGTCGATCGGGAATCTCCCAGAGATAAAAAGCATTTTTTATCTTGAAAGAGCGGCTCTAAAAGTCGTCCTTCACGGGAACCACCCACACATCCGTTGAAAAGTGTACGTAATTTATGACATTGGACGAAAGTTCAGATTGATTTCTTTTTTTTATTTGAAAAAAAAACTCAAATAGAATGAGAATAAGAAATGAGAATGGAGAATCTCTGACTTTTTTGAATTTTGTCCATATAAATGTATAACATATGCTAAATTCGAAACTATGGGAACTGGCATCATACGGGTTTCAAAAAAAAAGAAGAACCGCTTAGGCTTCGACGTCAAAATGCTTTACCACCTCCTGTTCAATTTCTCTTCGCTATGAATTTTAGCCACGCCCCATTGAAAATAGGCAATTTGGAGCGGTTTTTTGCTGAAACAGCAACAAAGATCTTCAACCTTGAAGTGTTCCTATGCAAAATGACCCTGTCCGGAATGAATATTGGTCGAACGCGCTATGTCAACATGATGACAATTCCTTTCGGTTATCATCATCCGCATATAAAGTCGCTCTTTGTCTTTTTGAACTGGATGTTCAAACTACTCTTGTCTTAAAAAAATTCTAGCCATCCTCCACTGCCCCTTTGAGATGATTGGCGCTTCATCGGGGAAGTTTCTTTCGAGAATCGATTCATAGCAAGTCAAGTTCCACATCTAACAAAGAAGTTCAAGCAGTGAAGATATTTTCCAACCAAAATCTCCATAAGAACTGACCGATAGGACTCCGGCACGTTGTGCTCCCTGAGGTAGTCCATCTGAAAAAGTGTTCATGACTAACGCCTGCAAACCATAAAGCGAACGGCATAATTCGCAAGGAACGACAACAGATTTCGATATGAAAAATCTGGGCTAAAAATTTTATTACTTGAGGGGGCAGTAGTTGAATGGTACATTACAGTAATCGATCACAACAAAAGGAATGAATTTCACTCAGGATGCCTCGACTACTTGTCTTCTATTCATGGCCGCTTCTTTGAAAATGATTATTTACTGCAGAAACACTGATGAGGGTTGAACAAAAGTAGGATTATGATCAGAGAACTACGGATCTCCTTCACTGAGGGTTCTCTCTCACTGAAGGATCCCCAGCCGGTTAGTGACGAGGCTACGTAGGACGTCCCCAGGTGGCGGATAGGGGAATTAATCGCCGACCAAAAGTCACCGGTACTTTCCCAGAGACGCAGGTGGATTCAGGGGATGGACTCCTTGATTCTGCTGTGCTGGGTCGATATACCCTCTGTTTCTCGCAGGCGATCAACGCATACGTGTGTGGAGAGTCTGTGGGTGCAGTTGGTATCCTGCCCATCGACGCGGCCAAAAGCTTGCATTCGAGTGACGAACAAGTCACGCTGGGAAGTATCTGGGAGGCGATTTGGGGCGACTTCGCTTCCCTTGCGAGTAAATGGGAGGATTCCGTTATCGACAACATCGACGAAGAATACAACCGGCTTGTCGAGCATCTTCACGATATTGCTACGAAAGCAGAGAGTCTACAAGTAGCCAAGAGACGACTCTCTTCGGAGACTCTCGAGCTGATACGCCAGCGTGGAATCGCGCGAGCTGCAGGCAATTATCAACAAACGTCCAAAATTGCGAAGCTATGCAGAGAAGCGATGAAGGAAGATCTGAAAGAGAGAAGAGCAGCAGTCATGGACGAAGCCGCCGAGGCCGGAAAGAGCATTCGCAAAGCCCGACGGAGCTTCGCCAATTACAAGACCAAGATGACCTCCCTTCGGCGTCCGAACGGAACCGTTACTGCATCCCGGAGCGCAATGGAGAAGGTCATCTACGACTTCTACTCGGATCTCTTCGACAGCCACGACTACCTGCTTACTCACCATCTCAGGCAAGACGAATATATCGCTCCTTCGGTTCTCCCTTCCGAAATACGACATGCCATCACGTCGATGAAGAACTGTACAGCGCCCGGTCCCGATAGGATCAAACCAGAACATCTGAAGAGTATACCACCAGTCATCATCAAAACTCTGGCTAGGCTCTTCACACGGTACCTGTCGGAATGCAAAGTGCCCACGTCGTGGAAAACTAGCAAGACTGTGTTGCTGT